GTGGACTCATGGAGGATGGGGGATGGTGCCAGCAGGTGCGTAAAGGGAATCCTCAGAACATGTTTCACATTGGGGGCCCTGGGATGCCATCTGGTGGCTATTCCCTATCTCCGGTTACTGAGGTGGTTGGGAGGCTGAGTGTGGCTTCTCCCCTTCTCTTTCTCCTACTCCCAGATACAGGAAGAAGAAAAACAAAACTTGGAAACAATGGTCTCATCCATTTTCCTCTAATTTTCAACCCTTCCCATCCTAATTAACTATGTGAGCATCATCAAAAATAAAAAAGAGCTCAATGAAATGAAGAGGCAGCCAACAGAACAGGGAATACATTTGCAAACTATGCAACTGATAATGAACTAGCATCTACAATCTTTAGGGAGCTCAAAAAACTCAACAACAAAACATTTCAGCTAAGAAATAGGCAAGGGCCATGAAAAGGTATTTTGCATCCAATCAACTAACAGCGTTAACAATATTCCCAATACTGGACTAGATGCAGAAAACAAAACAACAAGCAAGACAAACTTGGTTTTTACAAACATGAAGCAGAAATAAGAAAAAATAAATCTTCTATCCACTGAGTTACTCCCCAAATGGCTGTAACAGCCAGAGCTGAGCTAATCTGAAGTCAGGAACTTCTTCTGAAGGGTCTTCCACACACAGGTGCAGAGTCTCAAGGCTTTGGGACATCTTCCACTGCTTTCCCAGGCCACAAGCATGGAACTGGATAGGAGCTGGAAGGGAAGTAGAGCAGCCAGGACAAAACTATTGCCCATATGAGATCCTGACACTTGTAAGGGGAGGACTAGGCAATTGAGCCACCATACTACCCCCAGTTCTTCCTCTTAAAAACCAAAGTAAGAACACAGATTGAGTAAAGGCCTTCACAGTGATCAACATCTTCTAATTTCACTAATTTGCCATGGTCCTAGATCACATTCTCTTAAGTATTTCAACAGCTAAATTGGCTTTTCCAAATCCATCCCCTATTTTAGAGTAACTTTAAACACATGATATCTTTTTAATATGTACAATTTATTCATGCAATTGTGCTTTCATAAAGATTTTTTAAACTTAAGACAAAACAGAATAAAAATAAGCAACTCAAAAGAAAGCAAGATAAAGTGAAAAGGGAACCTAGAAGAGGGGGACATATGGAAAAGAAAAAGTGATAGATTTCAACCTAAAGAAATATTATGGCAAATATAAATGCTCTAAATAAGTTTCAGAATAAGAAAAACTACCTAACGGTATTTAAGCAACAAGACCAGTCCGAGGCTCATTACAACAGTTTGGTTCATGGGGCAGCAATGTGGCATGATGCACTAAGCTGCCACCTACAATAGCAACATCCTGTACTGGCATTTGTTGGAGTTTGGATTTCCAGTCAAGCTCCCTGCTAATATGCCTGGGAAAAGCAGTGGAGAATGATCCAAGTCCTTGGGCCCCTGCCATACCCATATGAGAGATCAATGAAGTCTTGACGGTTCTTGTCATTTAGGGAGTAAACCATCAAATGGAAGACCTCTCCCTCTTTTCCTCTAACTCTTCATTTCAAGTAAATAAGATCAATCTTAAAAAAGGGGGGGGGGGCAAACGCGATACCCTCGTGGTAAAGTTCTCACCTTGCACGCACTGGGATCTCATCTGGGCACCATTCTAATCCTAGCTGTCTCCACTTTCCATCCAGCTCCGTGCCTATGGCCTGGGAAAGCAGTCCAGGACAGTCCAAGGCCTTGGGACCCTGCACACATGTGGAAGAGACCTGGAAAAAGTTCCTGGCCCTTGCCTTCAGATCGGCTCAGCTCCAGCCATTGCAGACACTTGGGGAGTGAATCATCAGACAGAAGATCTTCCTGTCTCTCCTGCTCTTTGTATACCTGCCTTTCCAATAAAAATAAATAAATCTTTAAAACAAAAGTTTGGTTCAATAAAACTGGAAAGAATGAGCAGGGCATAATTTATTATTGGATTTTTTTTGTTGTCAGAATAATGGCATGTATTTACCAGAGAAAGTCTCACACAGAACAAGAGTTGACTGCACACAGCTGCAGTGCCTGGCTATCTGTTCTGCTGATCTAGGCTGGCCTCAGTCAGCATGACAACAACAAGTGGACTCCACTCCACGTGTCACTCAACAGCCTAACCACATTCTCACGGTGACAGAAGTTGTAGAGAAGAGAAAGACTCAGTGGGCAAGCTTCTGCTTCAGAAATGCCCATTCATATGGTGGTTGAATATAAAGTGAAAACTCAGCACAGGTCACCTTGTGACAGAACAGCAAAATCACAGAACAGTGTGAGCTCTAAGTCCCTAATGACAGAAGGGGTGAAGACTTGAGGCCAAGGTACACAATCCACTGCACTGATTAATAAGAAGATGCAGTATAAGATTTGGTTAGTGAAAATAGTTTTAAGTAATGATAAGGATTAATTAGGGATCTTAACAAATTAGTGTGAAGTAGATGAGGAAAGGTAATGAGTCATAAAAAGGTGTTTGAATACCAGGCAACATTAGAGTGGTAGTCACTGGGTATTGATAATCTAACTGCTAATTTTTCTTCTGTACTGACTGCTTTTGCTTTAAATGTAAGAGACAAGGGCCAGGTGCGGTGGCTCAGTGGTTAAGGTCCTCGCCTTGCATGCCCGGGATCCCACATGGGCACCGGTTCTATCCCGGCAGCCCCACTTCCCTTCCAGCTCCCTGTCTGTGGCCCGGGAAAACAGTTGAGGACGGCCCAAAGCTTCGGGACCCTGCACCCGCGTGGGAGATGCGGAAGGAGCTCATGACTCCTAGCTTCGCATTGGCTCAGCTCCAGCTGTTGCGGCCGCCTGAGGAATAAATCATTGGATGGAAGATCTTCTTCTCTGTATATCCGTCTTTGCAATAAAAATAAAAATAAATCTTAAAAAAAAAGTAAGAGACAAGACTAATGCCATGATAGGCAGTAAGTAAGACAGTAGTAAGTAAGACAGTAGGCCTAAGTCATTTCCCAAAGGTGACAGCGCAGGCTCTCGGAGACCACCCGGGAAAAAAATGTAACCAACAGAAAAGAGATTTAAAAAGTCCTTAGCCTTGGGTGAGGGCAACAGACCAGTCATAGTCAGTTCTCACAGTCCTTCGTGTAATTTGATCTGCACTACATGAACATGCAGTATGTACTGTAAAAGAGATAATTACGTGGTATATGTGAGTAGGAGGATACAAAAGCTGCCTTGGAGAATCAAGCAGGGTCCCTGTCAAGACTACACTGCATGGATGAGACATGGACCCTAGCTCGAGCTAGCAATAAAGTTTCTTTGCTTTTGCATTGTTGCCTGTGGAACGTGTCTGCCGTGTCTGCCGTGTCTGCCGGCAGTGAGGGGATATTCTGGACCTCCTAACAGAGGTCCCTGGAGGCAGAAAAACCATGACTAGACACAGAGGGTCTTTCATAATAATAAAAAAATTCTTTTTTTTTAAGATTTATTTTTTTTATTGCAAATTCAGATTCATAGAGGAGAGGAGAGACAGGGAGGAAGGTCTTCCGTCATTGATTCGCTCCCCAAGTGGCCACAGCTGCCAGAGCTGATCCAATCAGGAGCCAGGAACCTCCTCTAGGTCTCCCACAATGGCTGCCTTCCCAGGCCACAATGGGGAGCTGGATGGGAAGCAGTCAGCCTCCAGGACTAGAACCAGCACCCACATGGGATCCCAGACGTGCAAGGCGAGGACCCCAGCCACTAAGCTGTGCCCAAAAAATGGTTTTCTAAAAAAAAATTTTTTTTCTAATTTGTCCCCAATCACATAGTCTCTAAAAAATAATCATGGTGGGGGATTAAACATCCTTTGGTCAGTAAAGGGCAGAAAAAGCAGAAGAAAAAAAGGGGTGAACACAGATGATATCAACTTAGCAAATTAGTTTTAATGAACATTTACACAAAACCACACACCTGCTTAACACATATTCTTTTTCAATGGATACAGGGCATTTACTGAAAGAGACAGACACACAAAACCGGTTTTTAAGACTCTAAAGAATTGACATCTTAATGTATTTTCTGACTAGGGTAAAATTTAAGTTCCATCAAAATGAGAAGAAAATTTCTCATGTGGCCATTAAACACCATATTCACAAAAACTCATAGGTCAAAGGAAAAAGCAAGATAAACAAGAAATAGATATTTGAATTTGCTGACAACGAAGCCACACATCTAGAAGCTGATGCGACTAAGGGCACACGCCTGGAGGCCAAGCAACAGGCAGTTTTTTAGCCAGCATCATCACCGCCACCACGTCCCACACGGCCACAGCCCCCGCCCTCGTGTCTGTGTCTACGACCCAGCCAGCGTCCACAAGGCCCCTGGGAAACCCAGTAACCTGCACAGACTTTCACAGAAACAGTTGCCTTCCAAGCCTCTTCTGCTTTCCACACTTGCACTTCCAGGAGTCACAACTCTCTCTCCTGCTGCTGCTCTCGCAGATTCCTCCACCTTGTGGGTGCAAACCACACTGCTGCCCAGCTGACCCCGCACAGACACGGGGGTGGCGGTGGCCATGGCCCCCAAGAGGCACTGGACGCTCCTCCAGCCACGGGCAGCAGGCGGGGCGGCGCCTGGAAAGCGAGGCCCGTGAGCCCCACCAGGCCTTGGCCATGAGGCGCCTGCAGGGAAGCCTGCCCCGCCGGCCTCTGCCCGGGCCCAGAGGCCTCACCCCACCAGCCGGCCTCTGCCCGGGCCCAGAGGCTTCACCCCACCAGCCGGCCTCTGCCCGGGCCCAGAGGCTTCACCCCACCAGCCAGCCTCTGCCCGGGCCCAGAGGCTTCACCCCACCAGCGTCGGGTGAGGCGGTGGCCCCTGGGGTTCGGCTCCTCCCTGAGCTGGAGAAAATGGCAGCTCCGGCCCAACGGACAGCCAGGGAGCAGGCAGAGTACCTCGGGTTTGGCTGCCAGCTGCCAGCACTAAGGTACCCGTGGGCTGTGGTGATTCAGAGGGAGGCAGGGGACCGGCCACACTACTTACAGCGGCTTCACAGTCCCAAACACAACTGGGGGTTTCAGTGTGAGGAGACCACCGTCTCTCAAGATGGAGGCCCGACTGGAGCAGAAGGCCTGAGGGCCAGTGGGCGTGGCAGGGTGTGTTGGGCGGGACAAAGTGCAGTGGGCGTGGCCGCCAGTGTGATGGGCGTGGCAGGGCGTGGCGGCTGACAACGCGGTGGGCGTGTTGGGCGGGACAAAGTGCAGTGGGCATAGCAGGAAAGGGCGGGGCTAGGCAGGGTGTGGTGCGTCTTCCATGGTGACAGATGCTCCTTTTCTGCTATAAAAACTATGTGCTTGATCCCCAGCCTTACATCTGAGCAACACACTTCAAATATATTTTAAGATATATTCCCTTTGTTTTGTTGTTTTGGCTTTTTCAGGGATTTTTAAGTTTTTGTTTCCTCAGGACTTCAGAGGTAGATACTGTCATTCTCATTTCTGAGCTGAAACCTTAGCTCAGGTTTAACTAGCTCCTCCAAGGACACTTGCAGCTGCCCCTAGGCCCTGTGACCAATAGATTTTTTTCATGGGTACTAAAATTTTATAACTTTATATATTTATTATCCTTTGATCACACATCTTTTTGTTGGTTTCTCAAATCCTTTGTAGAAAATTGCATGTTACAAATATAAATATGAATGAGGACACATGGCCTGATGTTTGCAAGACTTCCCTGGTAAAAGATGTTGTCTAGACTCAACAGCCAAGTATATGCTCTCAGTAAGAAATTAAAATGTAACAATGTAAGTCAACCAAAAATTAGCAAGTAGGAAAGTTGTATCATGCAAATATAAATCAAAGAAAAACAGAAGATGATACATTAATAGCAGATATTGGACCTAACAGCAAAGGAAATTACAAAATAGGACTTTATGTAATGATACAAATGTCGAGGCATAATGAGTATGTAGCAATACAAAATATGTGTAAGCAGACAATAGACCTTTCAAATGAAATTTCACAGAACTGAAAAATGAAATAGACTATCCACAATATTTCAAGTCTTTATAGGGTATCTATTTTCACCCCCAACTCACAGGCTTTTCCTCTCTGCATGAAAATGCCACCACAATGGCTGATTTGGCTAATCCTCCCCTTGTAAGAATCAGGATCACCTACAGGCACTGGTTCATCTATAGGCTACTCCTATCCAGCCCCTTAATTGAGGCCTGGGAAAGCAGTGGAGGATGCTGTACCCACTTAGGCGACCCAGAAGTTCCTGGGTCCTGGATTTAGATTAGCTCAGCTCTGTTCATTTCAGCCATTTGGGGAGTGAACCAGCAGATGGAAGATCTTTCTGAGTAACACATGAGTCGTCATCATCATGGAGGCCTCAAGTGAGATGCTACCTACTCCCTCCTCTTGCCTCCTATGGTTTCAGGGATTGTTCAAAGCATTAAAAAGCTTATTATTTACAGGAAATAAAAACCTCAACATTAATTCTTACACTTGTCAAAAAATAAACTTACAGAAAATGGATTTCTTCGACCCCATACAATAGCTTAGTGGCTAAATCCTCGCCTTACACCTGCCAGGATCCCATATGAGTGCCAGTTTGTGTTCCGTTTGTTCCACTTCCCATCCAGCTCCCAGCTTGTGGCCTGGGAAAGAGGTTGAGAATGGTCCAAAGCTTTTGAACCCTGCACCTGCATGGGAGACCCGGAGGAATCTCCTGGCTCCTGCCTTAGATTGGCTCAGCTCCAGCTGTTGCAGCCACTTGGGAAATGAACCGATCTTTGTCTCTCCTTGTCTCTGTATATTTGCCTTTCCAATAAAAAGAAATAAATCTTAAAAAACAGAAAGGAAATTAATTTCTCATCAGCAAAAAATCACTGTACTTTGGATCTAATACCAGTTGGTTTTTTCCCCTTCTTCAGGTGACAGATGGATGTAGCTGAATCTGTAAATGAGTGTCCAGGTCCAAGCTGTGCAATATAAACACAGAAGCAATGGACAGAAGGGTCATAACCAGCACTGAAGCAGAGCCAACTTTGAGTCCAGGGAGTCCTCCATGTAGAATCACTACATGCATCTAGTCTCTGCCAAGGTCGTGTGGCCCGTGCTCCTTGTCCCACAATTGGCTTTTCCCCTCTACCAGACAGTGAACCCTACCACACAGTGGCCGCTACTTTCCTGGGGAAATGTCCTGAGCAGTCTACCTAGTGAAGCTAGGAGTCAGACTGGGCTTGCTGGAGACTGAGGATTAAGGGATGAGGAAGAGGATGGCAGCTAAAGTTACAGGATTATCAGGTGTTCCCATATTTCTAGTGAGGGGTGTACTATGGAAAGAGCTAAAACATCTGACCCACTACAATTACCTTAACAGAAACATGGGATTAACTCAATCCTATTAATCTACCACGCTTCCATAACAGTTGGACTACATTTACTTGTGTGCAAGAGCTACCTTCCTAGCACAGGGCCCATGTGGTAAGGTACACAAACAACATCAAATGCAGGAAAAAGTTACTAATGTGACCGCAGTCAGGTGAACCACCACTAGGCATCCATGAGCTAGCAGTCAGTACCTTTGGGCTTGGGTCATCACACTCAGGACTCAGAGCATTGTGCAAGTTTCTCCACTGCCAGAGAGAATCAGGGTAGGAGAAAGTGGCAATGTGCATTCAGGCATGTCTAAGACCTTTTTGAGCTACTGTAACAGAACACCACCAACCGAGTAACCTGCATAGCTTGTGGTTCTACAGGTTGGGAAACTCAAGACAAGGTCCCTGCACGTCATAAGGAGCTATAGCCTTGTAACATTGTGGAAGTCAACACATGGGCAAGATTGGGAGAGTGGGTGTGAAGGAACCCCATCCCATAAATAAGTACTTCTGATGAGGCCATCTCTCCATATACAATTTCACTGCAGTATAAGTTTCCAACACAGGAACTTTGGACCACACATTCAAACCATAGCAAGGTACTTGCATCACAGCTGAGCTACAATAGTTATTTTCCCATCCACAATTCCTGAGTCCAGAGAGACCCTTGCAGGGTAGGCTGCAAAGAATTTGAAGATAGCCATTTATGACTGCCAGCCCTTAATGTACATATAACTTATCTGTTATTTAAAAGTAGTGAACTAGGTACTGTGGTAAAGGGACTTTAGAGATATAATTAAGTATCCAACTCAGCTGACCTTGAATAGGGAGATTCTATAGTATGAACCTGGTCTAAACACAGAGCTCTTCAAAATTGGAGTTTTCTTTCTCTTGCTGACTGCAGAATCAGAAATCAGAGAGATGTGGTCTGTTGACCTAAAAAACAAGCAAACAAAACCATGAAATGTTGTGAGTTGCTTATGGTGTCCATGTGGTAAGAATCCTACAGGCAGCCTCTGTGAACAAAGAAAAGTCCTTGGCTTTAAGCAGGAAAATGAAGACTCCTGTCTTAAATATAACAAGGTAAGTTCTGCCAACAACCAATAAGCATGGAAGAGGATCCCAAACCCCCACCCCTATTCCATGAATCATAGACCCAACAAATATCTTTGATTTCAACCTGCTGTGACCCTGAGTGGAAAATACAGCCATACCATGACTAGACTTCTAACCTTAGAAACTGAGATTATCTGTGTTGTTTTTAGTAAGCAATGTATGGTCATGTGTTACTCAGAAATTAAAAACTGGGTCCAGCACAATGACTCAGTGGTTAAAATCCTTGCTTTGCATGCGCCGGGATCCCTTATGGGCACCAGTTTGTATCCCAGTTGCTCAACTTCCCATCCAGCTCCATGCTTGTGGCCTGAGAAAACAGTGGATGGCCCAAAGCCTTGGGACTCTGCACCCACTCAAGAGACCTGAAAGAGGCTCCTGGCTTCAGACTGACTCAGCTCCAGTGGTTGCAGCACTTGTGGAGTGAACCAGAGGATGGGAGATTTTTCTTTCTCTGTAAATCTGACTTTGCAATAAAAATAAATCAATCCTAAAAAAGAAAGGGAAAACTGATATTCAAGGGATAGGTATATTCAGGCCACACATAATTCAATAAATAGCATTTGTCTATGAGTAGGGTTTGAGTTCCCATCTCTGTACTTTTCAGGCAGTTAAAAGGCATGGGAATGTGCTGTGCTAAGCTGACTGGGCATGAGGAATGTTGCACTGTCTGAATGGATGTCTAGATATCCCAGTAATAAACAGTCCTCTCTCCAAAGCCTAAACTATGTGTTCTAAAGTCCTTGGGGCAACCACTGTTTCTGTCTTTAACTCCCTGGACAACTTTGTTCCAGAGGGCAGTCAAAACTGTTAGACTTAACCAGTTTACCACTGAACCTCCCAAGTGAAGAGGTACAATCTGTGGATTCTCATTACTCCTTGTCTTCCTTTATCCAGGATTCTGTTCATTTCTTACTAAGCACTTCAGTTGCCATTTGTCCAGTAACAAGTACATGGAGGAACTGATGTGCCCTTCTTTCCCCTACTGAAAAAATGCTGCAGTTATCAATTCACCACTTTTCACCCCTTGCCACTTACTATTTTAAAAGCTGCTGATTCAGCTGGTCCTTGCCAAGTATCTGTTTTACCTACAGATAGGGATTCAGACGATGGTTAATTTCTTTTTAAGACTTATTTATTTTTATTGGAAAGGCAAATATACAGAGACAAAGAGACAGAGAGGAAGATTTGTCTGATGGTTCCACTCCCCAAGCAGCCGCAATGACTGGAGCTGAGCCAATCAGAAGTTAGGAGTCAGGAGCTTTCCCGGGTCTCCCACGCAGTTGCAGGGTCCTAAGGCTTTGGGCCATCCTTTCCCAGGCCACAGGTAGAAAGCTGGATGGGAAACGGGGCTGCTGGGATTAGATCTGCCACCCATATGGGACCCCTGCGTGCACAAGGCGAGGACTTTAAACACTAATCCACCATGCCGGGCCCAGATGATGGTTAATTTTAAACAATTTTTTATTTACTTGTTTCAATGGCAGAGAGACTGAGACAGGAGATCTTCCATCTGCTGGTGCACTCCCCAAATGTCAGCAACTGCCAGTGATTAACCAGGCTGAAGCCAGAGGCAAGGAATGCCAGTCCAAGTCTTCCACATGCATGTCAGGAGCTCAGTAACTAGAGCTATCAAGTTATGCT